TAATAATAATAATAATAATAATAATAATAATAATAATAATAATAATAATAATAATAATAATAATAATAATAATTAAATTTTTATTTACCTTGGAAGAATTGTTTATTGATTTAATACAAAATTGGTGAATAAATGTCAATGCAAGCAATATTCGAGTCATAAACCTAATTATATAAGATGTAGAATTTCCGTGGTTAGAAAATAATAAATATATTAAATGAGTTAAACAAGTTAAATAAGGTTAAATGAGTTAAAATGAACTTTATATTCTTTATATTATTTATTTATTCACCTGAAAGGAACATTGACAACTAATTCTGCGATTTCGATCAACTTTAAAATTATTTCGTGATTCTCTAATTCATCAAATAATGATTGAAACAAACAAGTAATGTCGTCGAAACTATTCATCCAATTTTGAGAATATTTAAAATCCTGTAATATAATATAATTTAACATATTATAACATAATTTAACATAATTTTAAATTTATTTAATTTAACATATTTAGTATATTAAATGACCTGCTTGAGTTCAAGACATTTTTTAAGTTCCAATTTTAACACCTCAAGATGATCCAGATAAATAACGGTGATATCATTGTGTATCAGTTTCTCCAAAAATGAATCCATAGCCATCTATAGTAGAACATATGATAATAACAAATAATTATATTATAAATAATAATAATAATAAATAATAATAATAATAATAATAATAATAATAAATAATAATAATAATAAATACCAATTTGATTTCTTTATATGTGAGTAATTGAGATATCCTTAGTTGATTAATTAAGGGTTCGATTTGATGAGGAAATTCGAAATGATAAATTTTAAATCTGATGTATGTATATATATATATATATATATATATATAAAATTTATTTTCATCGATAAAAGACAATTTACAATTATTCTTTCTTTGTCATTCCTCTTCTTTAATAATACATATGCATTTTTAAATATATTTTAAATATTTTACATACAGAATGAATATTGGTCGAAAATTTATAAAATCATCTGGTTCAAGTAACTATTTAATATTTAAAATAAAATCAAAGTAAAAAATTAGATAAAAATTAATATTTATTTATATCCAAATTCAGATAAAACATTAACCTTACCTTTCTAATCTCATTTACAAGAGATCTATGTTCTGATGGATGAATAATTATATATTCAAGAATATTCTGGCATCCACGAAATCTAAATTAATTAATGTCTTATACATAATTTCTTGAATATATATATTAAAAAACATTATAAAGTAGAAAAAAACTATTTTCACTATTACTTTAGATCAACGATAATTTCTTCTTCAGTGAATCTAATTTTCCATTTAATATTTGTAAATTTGGAGAATCCTTCAATTATTTTTGAAAGTTCAAGGTTATCATACATTAAAGTTCTTGATAACTGTCAAAAAAAAAAAAAAAATAGAGATATTTTATAATTAATTATTGATAATTACAGAATGTGAATTTATATTAAAAAAAAAAAAACCTTGCTAAATTGTTCAGAAAGAAAAGAAGAAATATTTTCAGATTTTGATGAATCATTTTCTTGATTATCCTCTTGTAATAATAACCATGTTGCCTCTTCACTTATAAATGATAAAATCCATTGCATAATGTGTCCAAAAACTCTACTTTCATGGAAAATTTGAATAATTAACATTAAAATGCAAGGTCTAAGAGGGACTACATTATTATAATATTCAAATTAGATTACTATCTTTAATTGTTATTTCGATTATTGTTATTATTATTATTATTATTATTATTATATTTTCTTACAGATATTTGATTGAGGTTCTAATTCATTAAAGAATCTTAATATTGGTGTGTAAGCTTTGTGATTAATAGAATTACCAAGTCTTTTTATCAGTAAATGTGTTAGGAAAGTTCCATTGAACTATCATAAATTAAAAATATAGAAATATATATCTTTATTTATTGTTAAAAATTAAAAAAAAATCAAAAAGTAAGACATTTTTATTTTATTTTGTTAATTATTACCATAAGATCTCCATTGGGGGCAATTTTATCGGATAAAATATACGCGAAAAGGACATCATAATAAGAATTGAAGCCTCCACTTAAATAAATAAATATATATGAATGAATGTTAGATTTTTTTTATTCAATAAATTTAATTTAATTAATATAATTATGTAGTCAATAATAAACCTTTGATGACTAAAAGCTGTACTATTATTATTATTATTATTATTATTTGATTTACTCCAAGGTTTTAAATATAAATGAAAATTTGAATAATATGATGGAAAGTTTGCTTTTGTTTCAATGCGATCAAGTAACAAGTTAACAAACTTTTCTGGATCCATAACCAAAAATCTTTATCGAAAAAATGTACATATGTTCGGTGATACAAACACAGATCGCAGATCTTTTTTTATCTTTTTTATGTTGAGCCAATTACATCATTTTAGATCTTCGTGTGACATTTGTTGATCGGCAATCTAATATTTGATATTTGACCAACTTTTTTTTTTTTTTTTTTTTTTTTTTTGAAACAAAAGAGAATGGCTTCAGGAAGGCAAGCAATGAACAAACTCGGCGATATGCTACCAAGGGGTGGCGGTAAAGGCATATTTGCTGGAACCGGAGCACTTGTAACCTTAGTAGCATTTGGGTTTGGAATTAACGCTAGTTTGTTCAATGGTACCGTCACATTTTCTATTTAATTTGACACAAAAAAATACTCTTTAAAATAATTAAATCGATTAGTTGACGGTGGTCATCGTGCGATCAAGTACACCCGGTTATTCGGAGTTAAAAAAGAAATCTTTAATGAAGGTACTCACTTTGTGATTCCGTGGTTTGAGACACCTATTATTTATGACGTCAGGGCAAAACCAAGAAACATCGCGTCTTTGACTGGCACAAAAGGTTTGTGTATATTATCTATTTATTTATTATCATTTCAGTTTTCAATTTATCAATTTCATTGTTTTTAATATAAATTAATTATTTTAATTAGATCTTCAAATGGTGAATATTACGTGTCGTGTATTATCTAAACCCAAGACCGATTCTTTGGCTACTATTTATCGTACCCTTGGAACGGATTATGATGAACGTGTTCTTCCATCTATTGTAAATGAAGTACTTAAGTCAGTTGTTGCACAGTTTAACGCATCACAATTAATCACTCAACGTGAAAAGGTATTATAATAGAAATAAAATGAAAATGTTATTCATAGATTATCACTAATAAAATATTATTCTATAAAAATTAATATAAATATCTATAATATCAAATAACTATATAATATTAATATAATATTAATATACAATAGGTATCACGTCTTGTTAGAGATAATCTGACACGTCGCGCTCTACGTTTCAATATAATCTTGGATGATGTTTCTATTACTCACGTTGCATTTTCCCCAGAATTTACTCATGCAGTAGAGGCTAAACAAATTGCTCAACAAGAAGCACAAAGAGCATTCTTTGTTGTAGAACGTGCAAAACAGGAAAAACAATCGATTATTATTAGAGCAGAAGGAGAGGCAATATCAGCAGAATTGATTGGTGAAGCAGTCAAGAATAAACCAGGTTTCATCGAATTGAGGAAAATTGAGACTGCTCGAGATATTGCTTCTATTTTATCCAAATCTCAAAATCGTGTATTGTTAGATTCACAAGCTTTATTGTTAAATGTGGCTGATGTTACAAAGTGAGTAATACATTCTGATATAATTATTTTATAATTTAAATTTGCAATTTAAAAGTCACATTCATTTAACTAATTTATTTTTAATTTATTAATGTTATTAAATGTTATTATTAATATTTAAAAAGGCATAAGGATGTTATTAAAAAATAAATTAATAAAAATAAATTAGAAATTAGAAATTAGAAACTATATTATTCAATTAAAGGTCACCTTATGTAGTTCATGTATTTTTTTTAAGAATAGTAGTTTGAACGTTAATAAAACGAGAGTTTATTCAAATTCAGAAATTTATGGGATTAAAGAAAATTTGTTCATATGAATAACAGTTTCTTCTATGAACGGTCAAAAAAAATAATTTTACTTGTAATAAATAAGAATCGTGTCATACAACGACCAAGATTTTCTCAACAATATGCAACAATATGCAACTTTCGAATTCCCTTTGCTCCTTTTGGAATTGTGACGTAATTTATTATCTGATACCATATTTATGTGTTTGTTTGTATGCGTGCAAAAAATGCGATATATATGGTGCATTTATGACAGAACCAAATCACGAGTTTCGCTCAATTGAGTCAGGGGAGGGTTTATTTTTAGCTCATCACCTGATCAAGGTTTTGTTTTCAATGTTCAATTTTGGGTATAAAATTTTTTCACGAGTTTCACTCAAGTATTCTTTCTAAATTTGCGAATTTGTAACATGCTTGTACAGTATTATTATCATTATTAGATTGTTTCAATATTTCTATATTTAGAAAAAATATCTTAGCAATATACTATATAAACCGCAGTTACTTAAAGTGCGTCAGCCGTAACTTTCCGCGATCTGTAATCTTTATAAATACCTTACGCATTTCACGTCGATTTTCATATCGATTTTTCCACTTTTGTTGCTATTTCATGGACAAACTCCATTAAACTTTTCGACCTTTACTACCATTCACACCCAACTCTTACATTTATTGCATATTATTTTATTATAATGGACCTTGAAAGCGTGCAGCAGTTTGACGACGTTCTTACGGACCTGCTACTCGATAAACTTTTCCTTTGGTTTAGGACCTTTAAACTAAATCCAAATTACTACGAAACAAACATCTCGCGAGAAACAATAGTTGATATAGTGACACGTCACGTTATCACAAACAACAAGTCCCGAGAAGCGATCCGTGAACTTCTAAAGTAAGTTTGTTCATCTTAACCATGTAACGAAACTTACCTTTTTATTAGTGTTAAATTTATGCACAGAGTGGTTCTCAACGGAATTTTAAGACCTTAACCATTTCTTTTTTTCCAATCACCCATTTGTATAAAAATACTTTTATCAATTTTTCTTATAAACATTATAAACATTCATTTTTTTTTTAAAAAAAATGTAAATGACTAATAAAAACTTTCTCATAGAATCCCCAACGTCCGCGAAATAGCCCGCATAACTGAAGAAACCGAAAAGGATTTCATCATGTAAATACATTTTTCATTAATATTTAAAAACAATTTTAACTATATTTTTATATCCATTAGGCACGCTAAAAGATACCTCATGATGTATCATCCTAATGCGGGCTATGAAATAGCAGAAACGAGCAGATATACAGGTTCACCCAAAAGGGAGGCTTGTATTATAGCTACAAAAAAGTGGCACGTTGGGGACGAAGTAAAATATTGCACTGGAACGCTCGTTCATCTTACTCCCGATGAAGAAAAGGCGTTAGAGGGTGGCCGTGATTTCTCGGTCATGTGGTCCTCACGGAAAGACGCGATGTGTCTTTTATTGGGCCCTGCTAGATTCGTGAATGTAAGTCTTTCAAGTATTTAATCTTTTTTATCATTATTTACTTTTAATATATCTTAATTTATTATTATTTTTAAATAGCACGACTGCCGCCCTAATACGGAGTTTATTTCTGCAGGGCAAAACGCCATATCATTTAAATTCATAAAAGATGTAAACGTCGGTGAGGAGATAACGGCGTATTATGGTGACAATTACTTCGGATCGAACAACTCGGAATGCCTATGCGCAACATGCGAGCGGTAAGTATTCCACATATATTACAATGAATTAAAAAAATCTATTCATGTGTTATATATATATATAGTTAATTGATTTTAATTTTGGTATATTTGTTATTTAGCAATCAAACAGGTTCATTTCAAAAGGTGGGAGCAACGGAGGATCCCTTAATAGAAGGATTGCGGCCATTTGTATATGATGACAAGGGCACATTGGTTCGACGAAGTCTGCGTCGAAATTGTACGTTTTTCTTTCCGTACTTTTAAAATATAAAAAATTAACAAAAAAAAACTAAAAAACTGATTTTATTTAATTATATATAAGTGGCCACGAATAGCTTCATGAATAAACCAACGAAAAGATCTGTAAAATCTAGAAAACAAATTACAAATACTATTATTAATGAAGGTGAATGCAGTACATCTGCTACCACTCCACATGCTTCAGGGGATGATCATATGATAATTGATGGTGAACAAGAAGACAATAATTATGATCAAGCTACTTCAGTTATATCTTTTGCTGATGACGCTTCAACAGAACCTTCAACACTTGATGAAGGTACTGAATTTATTACGAACAATCCAAAAATAATTGATGTTACGCCTGATGATGCCGCCGAAGATGCTGTCGAAGATGCTGATGATGCTGATGATGCTGGTCGTCCTGCCGATTCAATAATTACTTCTAATACTGACGAATATCTTGAATCTACTAATCTTAATGATGGAATTATCCCAGCTATAAATATTCATGATATTCACGACGATATTCACGACGATATTCACGATATTCATGATATGGAGATTCCTGATATTCATAATGAAGATCATATTACTTCAATTATTTCTGATGATGGTTCAGCCGCTCCAACAAATGTTTCGATAATTGAGGATCCCGATGCTCCGATGATGAATATTTCTATTAATCATGGTCCTGCTGCTCCAATGATGAAAATTTCTATTACTGATGGTCCAGCCACTTCAATTAAGAACAATTCTAATAATTCTGATAAGGATATACCAATAATGAACATTTCCATTACGGATGGTCCCTCCGCTCCACTGATGGATAACTCAGAAGAGGATATTCCTGAAGCCCCGATAATGAAAATTTCTCTCAGTGAAGGTTCTGTTGCCCCAATAATTAATATCCCTAGTTCAGAAAGCAATACTGCTTCTGTTAATGTTTCTGATACAAGTCTACCCTCCACCCCAATAATTAATCCTCCTATCTCTTTTCCGATTGGTTCTGCCTCTTCACCGACGAATAATCCTGATACAGATAATTGCGAAATTCCATTTAATGGCGATCGCTCATCAAATCCACCGAAACAATCGGATCCAAATATTTCCACGAATTTTGTTACCGATGAAGAACCTCTTCATATCACCGAAAATGAATTTATACCTATGCCACCAGAAAAAGTTATAGATAATAATGATAGTAGTGAACTTATGACGGATCACCAAAATTTAAGAGCACCGTTGCCTTCATATACGAACGCATTGCCTCAAGGAAATATTGCTAATTTCAGACCTCAAAGAGTCGGAACTGTATCTACGGTTGGTCCACATTATCAAAGTGAAGGAAATAAACCAAATTTCGAAAGATCGATTTCTCAAAAAGGAGAGCCAATGAGCTTTAGAACTTTGATTTCTACGACTTTACCTTATAATAATGGTGGTCAATCTAAGGGTGTATCAAAACCAACTATCAATACAACCCTTAATTTGTTAGCAACGAATTCGCATATTGTACCAACGGAGCCAAATAACTCTTCAAATAATTCACAATCAACGGATGTAACATACTCTGGTCCCTCTTCACATAGCCCAGCTTTCGATGCAGAACCTCGACATATGAGTGATAATTCTACTACCATGAATAACATGAATAATGAGCCAAGAAACGTTAATTCTGCTAATGTCAATACGGTTCATTTTGCATCAGATAAAAATGATTTCTGGGGAGGAGTTAATGTGGCCACTTCACCAGATGTTAGGGTTGTTTGGTGGATTTCAACCATGCGTAGGAATAATGACACTACTTGTTTAAATCAAGAATCCGTATTACAGTCAGGTCCAACAATTGAAGATAATTCACAATCTATGCCATCATCTAATGCTTCAAGAATGTCAATTGCCTATCTTTGTGCAAATGAAACATCCAATATGAACATTGACTTGAATGATAGCCCCTCAATTCCTAATGTAGTTTCTTTACAGGAAATTACTAGACGTTGTCGTACTTGCCGTGAAAAGCATAAAGTTAACGTAACTGAGACTATCAACAAAAGATGTCCAAGATGCACGCGTCATTACAATTTGTTTAAAATTGAATGGCCATTGCGTAAGCTCCCGACCCCGAAAAAGGCCAAGGATAATAAGGTATGCGAATAATTTATAGTTACAAATCTTTTTGTTATTAGATTATTGATTACGTTATTTGATCCTTTTTTAAAACTAATAAAAATAATAAAAATTAATAGAATTCTCGGTTAACAAAAAACGGAACAGCTATAAAATCGAAAAATAATCGATCTTCATCGAGACCACGAAATCGTCATAATAATAATTTACCGATCCCTGAGCCCTCCGAAGAATGGAAACCACACTATCATAAAGATTTTACAGTAAGTACACAACGGTACAATAAATACGTCGATAATGAATGTATTCCCAGCTCAGGTAGATAAATATTATAAATATTAGAAATCTTTTATTCTTTAATTAATGAATTGTTATAATATGATTGTATTTTAATTCCATTTTTAGCTTATGAATATGAATTGCGAGGAGAATTGATTCGTTGGGATGCTAATACTGGGTTCGTCCATATGAACCCACTAAAACGTCTCTTTGGCAATCCAGCCTTGCGCTTGGAGAAGCTTGACTGTTTTAGGTCAAGTTGGAATAATGATAAGCTTGTAATTGTTGGGGGAAATATAAAATATCAAGGTACTTGGTAAGTAAGATTTTTAAAAGAATTATATAAAATCAGATAGATAGATATATAATATATATATATATATATTTTAAATATTTTATTTACTATTTAAATTTGGCTTTGATAGGTATCCATTTGAACATGCAAAGCAAGTTGTTGAAGAGGTAGTTGGATCAAGTGACACAGGATTTTACTCATTATTTGGTCCCCCAAATGTGGATCACGAATCTTCCGCGTCTTCAAGTAAAAGGAAGCGTGAAAAAGATGATGAACACTTAGCTGAGGGCTCAAAGAAAAAGCCTCGTACCTAAGTTTTCATATCAAATTTTTAAGAAATGAAAAAATGTTATGATTTTATAAAATATTGATTTTATTATTCGCGCAAAGAAAAAAAAAATAAATATATTGACAATAATCTTTTATAATTTGAAAAAAAAGCATAATTGCATTGAATCGATAAAAAATATATACAAAGTAGAATATTTTTATTAGATATAAAAAATAATTGATAATATGTAAATAATAATTTCAATTGTACATATTTCAAAATTTGTAAATATTCATATATTATGTAGTATGAGTTAGATATTTTTACAATTATATTAGAAAAACATGATTTATTTTAACAAGAAAAAATCAAATTTGTATTGTTATTAGCATATAGAATTTCCTTCATTTCCCTCATTTCCCTCAATAAAAGATTATGGTATATTTCTTTTTTTGCTTCTCAATAATAAATTATTAATTAAACGAGTTATATATGTTATATTAAGTGACATTGAGTAATATTTGAGGAATTGAAGAACGAACTCTAAAAAAAAAATTTTTTTTTTTTCGGATTCTTTTGAATTTTATTAGAGAATTAATATTTTTGTTAACAACGCTCGAAAATACGATATAAATCAGGTAAATTAGCTATTTGAATTACGTGACCACTTTCGGCGATATTCTTGGGAGCAAAGAATTGATTATTTTTTAAAATTGGAAATATCAAATGTTCAATTTGCCAACGATATTTTGAAATTTCAGTTATTTGTTTTTGATTAGCGGATTGATTATTTGTATTTTCAATATTTCTTTCTTGTCGAATTTCCATTGTAACAGGTATTTCATTTTCAACATCAATTGAGTTGATGATATTTTCAGGTTCGACATTATCTCGAGGGAAAGTCAATGGTTCTGGAGCATAAAATGATCCAAATTCACGAGAAATTTTTTCAAAACATCCCTTTTCTGTTTCCCAATCGACCTTTTTTTAAGGAAAAATAAAAGTAAATTTAAGATTAAAAATCGAAGTCAAATAAATTTTCTCAACTTAAAAAAATATTTACCTCTGTACCCAAACGTAATAAAAACGTCGGAAGTTTATCTAAATTCGGGGCATAACCTTTCAATATTAACGGTAAAGTGATTAATTCACCTGATTCATTAATAGTTAATGAAAAATATTCTAGAAGCATATTCCTTCGTGAGATTAATGTATCTACAATAATCTAAAAATAAATTAAAACAAGATAAATAAATATAATGAATTACATTTAATGTAAATGTCAAAATTTTATATGAAAAAAAAAAAAAAAAAAACCTGAGCAATTTCTTGATTAGGTTTTAAATTGTCAGGTAATGGTTGAGCACTTGTTTCTAATGCAAAAATTATGAGTTCCTTAATTGGAGCTGGTTTAGATAAACGGATAAAAGCAAAATTACTGAATTCCTGCAGAGTCAATTGATAGAATAATTCTTCACTAATTAAGAAAAAATAAAAATAAAAATAATAATAATAAATTTTTAAGTAAGTAACTTTGACTTTACAAATTTCAAAGAATTTTTTTTTAAAATTTACCATAAAATATTATAGTTAACCATATAAAGTTTTGTTTGATGTTGTATCAAAGCTAAAGGTATGGAATCATCAACACATCCCACCCAGGTATGATTTGCAAGCAAGTCAGTAAGTCCTGTAATCAAGAGAAATATCAAAAAATAAAAATAATGAAATAATTGAGTTTATATAGTTAGAACGAAGAAGAGTGAAGATGGTGAACACGAGTAATTTACCTTTGTGTTCTACTTCTTTACAATGATTACGCAATGCCAGTATGCTAGTTAGTTTTACCTCATTTTTCACACGTTTACGTTTCAAATTTGTACCTCCCGAAATTTCATTAATTATATTACTATAAATTATATAAATTGTTTAATATTCTATCAACTCATTTTAAAATTATTTAATTATATGTCAAAGTACCTATTTTCAGGTTGTATTCTCGTTTCTGGATTTTTTCCTTTATGATCGTTAAACATATTGTTTGATGCACTTTCAGGAATACAAAATTGATCCAATGTTTGTGCCCGGCTATCAGTCCTGACATGTTTATAAGTTAATGTTTTTGAGCCTAAGAATTTAATAAAATCAATAAAATTGATTTAATTATAATAAAAATTTTAATTCTATATATTAAATGTGGCATTAATTAATTTTACCAGATTTTTTAGTTGAACTTTCAGGATCCTTTGTACTTGTATCTAATACTTTTGCTCCTGGTAATAAAGTCTAAAAATTATAATTAATTGTTTTTATCAATAATCTTTGATAATACTTTAATAATAATATAATATTTTAATTGAGATCAAAATTAAAAATTACCTGAGTCAAATAGATTCGAGAACAATTAGCACCCACAAGTCGTTCCTGTATTGCATCTCCTATGATTGCGATAACCTCATCTTCATTTAAAAAACGAACCTTGATTACACAAAGATAAAAAAAAACAGATTATTATTATTACTAAAAATTAAGTTTTATCAATTGGAAACCATTTTTTTTCTAAAAACAAACCTCTCGTTTTGTAGGATGTATATTTACGTCCACATTTTGTGGATTTATTTCCAAACTTAAATATACAAATGGATATGAATTTTTTGGCAAATAGGTTTCATATACACCTTCAATAGTTCTTTTCAATGCTGAACTTTCCACAGCTCTATCTATAAATATTTATAAAAATCAAAATTTCAATTATTGAATAAAAAATAATTATAATTAATTAATTAATTATCTACAACAACAACACTTACGGTTGATGAATAATAAAAATGTCATCTTCCTGAGATTAAAGTTTGCATTGGAAATATATCCATTAAATTTGAAATCGAATTTTTTCGAAACCTTTTCTAAATTTAATAATTCGGAAGCTGTACTTCCGTATATTTGTCGAATATTATCTAGAGTGGATGCTGTTGACAAACTATTCACATCAGGTTGTTTTGAACCTTGCTTTAATTAAATGAATTAATGAATTAATAAATTTAACAATAAATCCGAAAAAATCAGTAATTATAAAAATTAGGAATAATTTATGAATAAAAGAAAGTGAAATAAACCTTTTTACACGAAAAACCGACACCCGAATTATGAATGGCATAACGATTAACGATATCTAAAATTCGATTATATTCGTCATTGGGATGTTTTAAAGCTTGTTTACGCGTCGGCACATTATAAAATAGATCTTCCGCCTAACAATTCAATTATATAATCCAAATATAACAATTCAATTATAAAAATTCAAATATTAATTCAATTATAAAAATTCAAATATTAATTCAATTATAAAAATTCAAATATCAATTCCAATACCGTAATTTGTGTTCCAGTATTACCAGCACATGCTTTCGGTTCAGCACTAGTTCCAGGCTTTGGTGAAACAAGTTTACCATCAGAATAACATGCTCTAAAAATTACAATTATTGATGTAAATATAATTAAAACAAAAAAAAAATAAATAAAATAATAATAAGTATAAAATTAAAGGTTTAACTTATTCAACCTGTATGCACATTTAGAATCTGCTGTTTTCGTAGTTATAGTAACATGAGCTACGTGACTAATACTAGCGAGAGCTTCTCCTCGAAAACCATAGGTATTAATACTTGATAAATCATTAAAACTCTTGAGTTTACTTGTAGTGAAACGTTCACATACAATATCCATATCTTCTCTCTAAAAAAAAAAAAAAGAGGACATGAATGAATGAATAACGACCGAATATATTTCAAAACGCGTAAAATTTTTCGTGTTTTATTAACCCTAATTCCATGTCCATTATCTTGAATTTGGAGTAACTTAAGACCCCCTTCTTTAACTAATATCCGTATATTAGTTGCACCCGCATCTAAAGAATTTTCTATCAATTCCTTTATCGCGTTGGCAGGTCTATGAATGATCTTTATATAGTCAGGATTCTAAGTAATTTTATAGAAATTACAAAAGAACACTATAATTTTATAATAAAAAATTTTACCTCTCCAGCAGCAATTCTGTTTATAACAGCGTCTTGAAGCTTTTTAATAGGTCTTAATTCTTTGATATTTTCAGAAGTATTCATTTGAATATAAACTGAAAAAAATTGTAAAATGAGATTTATGAAATTTGATTTGCTGATTCAGATTATTTTATTATTTTTCACCAAGTTGGTCAATCAGTTGGCCACTAAATTGTTCAGTAAATTGGCCACTTATTATTTTTTTAATTTTTTTATTTATTTTTTTTATTTATTTTACTGTTGGTTTTTTTTTTGTATTTACATTTTTGTAAAAATGAATTCTGAAAATACAAAAGTAGGCAGAGAAAAATCCACAGATTACTCAGATATTGTAAATACTGTAATTAGTCCTGAGCAAAGAATAATTTTAAGTGTTGGAGGATTTAAGGTAATTATTTAATTAAATTTATTCAATTATCTTTATTTCTTAATATTCATTAAATTTCACTTTTTTTTTTTTGACTTTAATAAAAAAGTATGAAACCTATCGATCAACTTTAACTTCATATCCAAATACACTCTTAGGCACAATGTTTCTGGAAAGAAATAGATCTTTACTTCATCCTACCAATAATAATGAATACTTTTTTGATAGGGATGGATATATATTTAGATATATTCTTCAATTCTATAGAACTGGTGAAATATTTTGGCCAGATACGAATCCATTACCATCATATTATCATGCAGACTTAAATTCCGATCATAATAATCAATTACAAATTTGTTCCCACTTTCCTAAAATTACCAACAAAGAATTAATGGCTGAATTGACCTATTTTCAAATTCCTTTTCCTTCTAAAAAACCTTTATCCATTACTCAACAAGCCATATTAGATAATATGAATTTAATGATAACCACCTTAGAACAAGTAATTCGTTTTATGTCTAGCGTATTTTTACTTAAAGCCACTATAAATTTTGGAGTAGATTCCACCAATAATTCAATAATTACGTGTAATCGATTTCACGAATCAGAGATAAATGAAATAGTTAAGAGGATTTATAATTTTGCATATATTATGTTCATATCATTTGGTCAAAGAATAGCAAAAAAGATTAATCGAGATAATCCTGAGGTGGAATTGAAATTTACAAAAATTCGAAGAAGAGTTGAAGTGGAAATTTCCATTGTATATGATGATTTCAATTTGGATTCAGTATGGAATGGAAATGAATGATGAAAAATGAATGATGAAAAAAAAAATGAATGATGAAAAAATAAATGAATGAAAAAAAAAAAATGAATGAAAAAAAAATGAATGAATAGATTATTCTTGAATTTCACATCAATCTTGCATAAATCTCGCGAATTTAATTTGATAAAAAAAAAAAAAATAGATATAAATAGGTAACTGTATATTTTTTTTTTTTGAACGTAGACATACAAATATAGTTAAATATTGTAACCTGTTAATATAATATCACAATATCAATATTAAACATTGTTTTCATTTAAACTCTTATGTATAAATATCAAAATGATTTTATTACTATTTTAATACTTTAAAAATTTTAAAATCTGTAACTAACAAAGATTAATAAAATTAAAATAATCAATATAATAAAAAAAAGATCCTATAGATATAAAAATGTATGCGTTGATTTTCAGATAACACTGCTATCGGTCTCACAATTTCACCTTGGGATTGGCAAAGCTCTCACCTGTCGACCACCTTTTTATAAAGTGAAAATTATGAATAACTTATTAAGAGACATCGAATACTTTTCAATCGATGAGATAATGATTTTAGTGCTAAAAGTTGTACGCGTTCCGCGTTGGACGATCACTGATTTGTGATTGGTCAACATGATCACCTGTAAGATGTTTATCATGTGACATTAATTAAACTAAAACTACGCATATAACTCAGAACTATATAGTATTTTAAAACCATTGTTGTTTTTTCCTTTTTTTTTTTCACTTGAATAAATTATTTCAATTATTTTAAATGAGTCAAATTTCACAGAAAATGGTAAATTTCCATATTTCCTAAACTTAGTTTAGTTTCGTTCTAAACTTATCTTATCTACTTATTGAGAATATATAGTTAGCCACCGAAAACATCTCCCCTTCCGTATTAAGAAGAATCACAAAAGAGCTGGCAGCTCTCAAAGTGCAACCTCCGGAAGGGATCCGAGTTTTAATGAACGAACTTAACGTCTGTGACGTTCAGGCTTGGATATCGGGGCCCGGTAATTTTCGAGATTCTTTCTTTATACAAGTTTCTTATATTGTATCGCATATTATTTATATTATTTCAAACCTGTATATTATTTTAATAGAAGGTACCCCATATGAAGACGGGTACTTTAAAATCAAAGTAATATTTGGTGCGGACTTTCCAAGTGTTCCTCCAAAATGTAAGCTTATTTCGAATGGGTGATCTCCAATTTGGGTATCCATCGCTTAGCTGTTAGAGAAACATATATTATTTAAAAATCCATAACGTTAAAAGAATTTGAAATGCGTTTGATATGCAATCAGGCATTTTTATTACCAAAATATTTCATCCCAATGTGTCAAAATCTGGGGAAGTTTGTGTGGATACATTGAAGAGAGATTGGAACAAGGAATATGGTATAGAGCATATTCTCCTGGTAAGAATTATTTAATATTTTTAACGATTTAAATCTTTTAACTATTTATTTCATTATTTCAAAATTTTTGATTTTCCGTTTAGACGATCAAATGTTTGTTGATTGTTCCGAATCCTGAGTCGGCTCTTAATGATGACGCGGGAAAATTACTTTTAGAAAGCTACGAGGATTATGCGAAGCGAGCACGAATTATGGCCAATATACATGCTCAACATAAACCGGCCGTATTTTCTTCGAATAACACCACATCTACCTCGTCAACATCGTCGAGTAATATGTCCACATCTTCATCATCATCTCCATCTCAAAAAATTCAAACCAAACTACCTATTACCAACAGTATTCCGTCTTCGACTCATTCGACTTTGATTACTCCTCTTACGGTATCGAAATCAAATAATGAATTTGAAACTACTGGAAGTGTTAAAAAAAATACAGTATCCTCTACTTTAGATAATTCAAGTTCTTCCATTATCCCAAAGAAACGTACTGGAGATAAAAAATTGGATAAAAAGCAAGCAGACAAAAAACGAAGTTTAAAGAGACTTTAATGGCCAACTAATAATATACATATATATATTTGCAAAAATCATTATTAGATTAATTATTTTATAAGCATTGCTAAATTTTTTGAAATTGGTGTTTAACCATTTTTTCTAGATTCTATATTCTCTATATTTCTTTCCTAGTTTCTCCATATATATTTCGCTACAAATTTACGTTACATACTTTCGATATATTACTCTCGTAGAGAAAAAAAAAAATCAATGAGGCGAACACAATAACCTACAACTGTCAATTTGAAAATAGAAAGAATTTATATCGGGTAAAAGATATGTTCCTATAATAATAAAAAAAGCTCTCTAATTTGCAAATAATTTATCAAAATATATTATATTATTCTTTGATTCCAATCAATAAGAGTATTGTACATCTAAAAACAAAAACTATTAACATTTGGTTAAATTAAAAAGCTTTTAAATAAATACTTAAATTAGGAAATTTTATTATTAATTCTTTATTAAAGATAATAATATTAATATTTTAATTAAAAATGAATTGGTTTGTCGTATGTGGACATTGCTATTAGAAAAATTTAATCTTATTAATAATTACAATAAATTTTCTTTAAAAGAATTTCAATTTAAAATATTACTAACCAGCTTCTTTGAGTGCTTCAGATAATGTCTAAATAATTTCAAAAAAAAAGCGTAATTATAAATGTAATGATAAGCACTGGAAAAATGAAAAAGTTTTAATAATAAATCTTACTGGATGAGCATGACAAGTTCTTGCAACATCTTCACTACTAGCTCCATATTCCATTGCTAATACAGCTTCACCAATCATTTCACCTGCATTAGGTCCAATGATATGAATTCCCAAAATTGCATCGGTTTCCGCGTCAGAAATCATTTTGACAAAACCCTCTGAATCACTATTGGTTCGAGCACGAGAATTTGCTGCAAATGGAAAAGTACCAACACGATATGGTTTTTTGGTTTCCTTGACCTCTTCTTCCGTCTTACCACACCATGCAACTTCAGGATGAGTATAAATAACCGATGGTATCACATCATAATTTACGTGACCGTGACCACCAAAAAGATATTCGGCAGCGGCAATACCTAATAAAAATGTGTTAAATTTTAAGAAAAAATAAAATGGTAATATTTGTGGCATTTCCAATAACCTTCTTCCTCAGCTTTATGAGCCAGCATAGCGCCATACGTTACATCCCCGATACAACGAATGTTGGGTTTATTTGTACGAAATTGAGAATCAATTTTGATTCTTCCTCGTTCATCTACATCGATACCCACATTCTCTAACCCAAGGTTTTCCGTATAAGGACGACGGCCAATTGAAACCAAAACCACATCAGCTTCTAACTTTTCAGTGCAAAAAATCAATAAAGATTATCAAATTAAATATAAATCTTATTATGCAATTTAAATAATTCCGAACACATACGGTTTCCTTGTCACCTCCTTTTGCAGGTTCAATATTTATAAACACTTTTCCATCCTTTTTCGACCCATCAATAACTTTTGTGTTTAGTTTAAATTTAAGTCCTTGTTTTTGAAGTAATCTCGAAAATTGATTACTATCAGTCAAAATTAATCAAATAAAAAAAAAATTTACTGTTAATTCTGAATAATTAAAAATAATTCAAACAATTTAAAATTATATTACATACGCCGTTTCGCCATCCATGCCAGCACCTATAGAACCCAGATATTCTACTACAGTTACTTCAGCGCCTAAGCGACTCCATACTGAACCTAATTCGAGACCAATAATTCCACCTCCGATGACAACCAGTTTTTCTGGTACCTTTTCTAAAGATAGAGCACCGGTGGAAGTGACAATTTGTTTTTCGTCAACCTATCAAAATATTTTTTTCATCATTATTAATTAGGGTTAAAAACAGACGTATCTTATTACAGTCAATGAAACAAACCTCTAGGCCATTGAATGGAGTTGGTTCTGACCCGGTAGCGATAATAATGTTCTTTGCTTGAACTATAGACTTATTCCCATCTAATCCATCAACCTCAATTTGATTTGTCCCGACAAATTTTCCATGACCTTTAATATAAGTCACCCCATTCTTTTTGAATAATCCTTCAATACCTTTCGTAAGACTAGTAACGGCTTTATCTTTGGCTTTCATCATATTAGGTAGATTCAGTGTTACATTCGCGACTTAGTGTCATTTTTCAAAAAAGATCCAAAATGTTCAGTGTTGAATTAATAAATTGTATAATCAAATTGATTTAATTCCAAAGAAAATCCACAATAATATATAATTTCATAATTAATGGAAGAATCCATTTTTTTGATCTTCGGCCGTTCTATAATTACTTTGAAATTTATGGCTCCAATCTTTCAGTTGGAAAAAAGATTTTTGAACGCTGAAATATATTTCAGAACATCTATAAACAATAATTACCATCAATTCCTCTTGAATTTAGTTCATGCTTGGTTTGGTGAAAAATATGAGAGTTATTTAATAAGGCTTTAGAAGGAATACAACCAACGTTTAAACATGTTCCACCCAAGGTGCCACGCTTTTCAATACATGCGGTCTAGTAAAAATTATAAGTTAAAATATCTGAATCTTAGGAAAAAAAAAAGTTTATAAGTGTTTAAAATACCTTTAAACCTAACTGAGCAGCTTTTATAGCAGCAACATATCCTCCTGGACCTCCACCAATAACAACTGTATCATACTCGGATTCTTTTTGTTTGAAAATATGAAAGATTAGAATATGTGTTGAAAACCAAAGATACTTGAAATGTACATACCATTTGAAGTAGAGGCAAAAAGCCGACGAGCAATTGCATATTTAAAGGCATTGGTGGAATTTTGGTAAGTTAAATTCTAAAAATAGTGACAATAATATTAGCCATTTGAGAGATATACCTCAATATTTTATTTCTAAAGATAAAGTAAATTACATAGAATTGACTTTGGCGTGAAATAAATTTGTACATTTCGATTAAAGTGGTTTAAAGAAGATTATCTTCCCATTTATAATTTTCCGAACAAAATTAATCATGTGATTATAAATGATATAATAATTACCAATTAGTCTCATTCAATTTCTTGACAAACAAAAAAAATATGTCCGATAATAATACATCGCCAACGTCACCAAGCGTAAATGAAGAATCAAATTCTGAAGCTAAAAAACGTTCACACGAAAGCGTTGAAGATCATGCCAAAAGGCAGAAAACAGAAGGTAAACTAGTTTGGATTTATGTCTTCAATTTACTTGTTCACGTTACTGATTTTTTTATTAAACAAACTTTAAGGTTCTACTTCACCAACCACCGTACCCACCCCCAAATCAACTACGTCCTCGCCGCCCGAGACATCAACAAAAAATTCACATTCTTCGTCTTCTAGCGTAGCGGCGGGAACGTCAACAACGACAAATTGTCCAACAGCAACAGCGGCATTTCCTAAATCCTGGCCTGATCAAATGCCAGCAGCTTTACATTTGAATGAAACTCAGAAGACAGCCTTAGAAAAAGCTAAAGCTTTCGCAAGGGAGATGCAATCAGTGGTATGACAAATTATTTAATTTAATTAATTTAATTCTTATTGAAGCTAAAATTGGTAAAAAAAATTTTTTTTTTTTTTTAGCTACTAAAATCAGCCGGGAAAGGTAGTTCTCCCCCACCAATCCCACCTCTTTTTCTATCAACTAATCCCGCTTTGGCTTCGGGAATAGATCCGCGTTCTTTATCTGTTTTATCTCGTATATATGTTGGTTCGATCAATTTCGAACTTACTGAACAACATTTACGTGTAGTATTCGGTCAATTTGGTGCAATAAAAAGTGTTAGCATGTCTTTAGATCCCCTTACTGGAAAACATAAAGGATTTTGTTTTATTGAATTCGAAACGCCGGAAGGTGCATCTTTAGCCCTCGAATCGATGAACGGAGCTGAATTAGGTGGAAGGTACGATATACATATTAGGTTTCTTAGTTTAATTTTTTTTTTAATTAATGATTTTATAATAAAAATAAGACATAAATGTTAACATATTTTTTAATTAATTAAAGACAACTTAAAGTTGGAAGGCCTAACAATTATACAGCTGCTACCGCCGCTGGTTAGTAACTTCTTTTTAAATTATATTTCAAGACCGAAAGTCTGAAAAGAAAGTAAAAATACTGAACAAGTGAATGCAGGTTTATTACCTCCTCCTAAAACTCGAATATATGTTTCTAATGTTAACGAATATGTAAGCGAAGATGATTTAATGAGTATCTTTGAATCATTCGGAAAAATTACTCATTGCGCTTTAATGGTGAGTATTATTAATTTTTATATTTTACTTAAAAAAAAAATAATAATAATTAATTTTTTTTTCCGTTTCTAATTTAAATTTTCATTAAAAAATTTTTAGCCCGACCTTATAACGAGAAAACACAAAGGATATGGGTAAGTAAATCGAATATAAATTTATCATGTGAATTCGTGTGGGTAAAAATTTTATTATTCAGGTGAAAGACAAGATGCTCGAGTTTATATCAATCTATATAGAGGAAATGATTATAATACCCATTCGACAAGAATTCTTTCCCGCTTACATGTTGTGTGCTTTTATTTTTCTTTCTTTTTTTTTATGCATGATACCCTTGTGTCGTTTTTTCTCTTGAATTTTTAATATATATATATATCAGCAGAAATTTACCACCTACCGACTTTTTCAGTTGTCGGGAGAAGCTCTCGACATTGATACAACAGGATTTTTTTTTGATCTTTTTATTCTTATACGTTTGTAAAGGAATTCAATTACAAATATTGGCAGTTGTAGAAAATTGCACACTCACTTTATAATTTCGTCTATGCACTCTATGCACTCCATGCACTATAATTTTTTTATTATTACTTTTTTCGCCATTTATTTGGCTAATTTACTTTTCTTGTACATATTTACATACAACAATGCATTCGCACCAACTATATGTATATGTATATTATATCTTTCTGCAGAAAGTCAGTCATTCACGCCAACATCGTTCTATGATGAACATCCAATACTTTCGTTGATATTGGCGACTACAGCTTGGACGGTTGACAGTGGCAGTGCAATTTCTGTTCCTCAAAATTTGGGAATCCATATCATCAATCGATATATATCTTAGTAATTAACGGCCCTTTCATTTTTCCTGTTTCTAATTAGATTTATTGAATTTGAGGATGAATCTTCAGCTAGTACAGCTGTCAGTTCTATGAACAATTTCGAATTGGGCGGTTTAATTTTACATGTGGGTAAAGCTGTAATAGGTGGACCGCTTAGTGAAGGAATGAAAGCAATCGACAAGTTACCTCCTTTACCCGCAGGAACAACACCACCACAAACTATTTCAACATCTCCTTCTGTGACTGCCGCAGGTTTGTTATTATTAAATTATTTCATTAATTATTTTATTTTATCTTTCATTAATTTTTATTACAATATCCTCCTTTATTTAGCTGCTGCCGTTAAAGCACAAAATGCAGCTGCAAAAATTGCAGCTGATCTTGCTGCAAGAGGTCAAACTGCAGTTGAATCAGTTGCGCAAGAGGAAAATATGAGTATTAGTGCTAGTCAACGTTATTCTATTATGCAAAAACTAGCGCGGGCTGAGGTAAGTTAATTAGCTTATGTTCATCATATTTACTTATATTCACTTGTTTTTATGATTAAAATATATTTCTTTATTCAAGTCATCTCCTGTTGTGATGATACGTAATGCTGTTGCACCCGCGGAAGTTGATGAGGCCCTTCAAGATGAATTTCAAGAAGAATGTAGCAATTATGGTAAAGTTAACAAAGTGGCCGTTCATATTGATTCAGAAGAAATTACTGAAAATGAACGAGGATTGGTTAAAGTTTTCGTTCAATTCGAGGATGGTTCTGGTAAGGATCATTTTATGTATTATTTATATCATTTTATTTATTTATTTATTTATTTATTCATTCATTAATTCTCTTATTCTCCTGTATAGCTGCTGAAAAAGCTAAGGATAAGTTAGATGGTCGATGGTTTGGTGGTCGTCGTATAAGTGCGACTTTGTTTGATCTTAAGAAATTTCAGACAGGCGATTACTCTAATTGATAATTTTCGCTGTTTTTCTTGAGTAAATTTATTTTATCTTATATCACTTTAAATTTCAATTGTTATCAAACTGATAATCTGTAAATTTATAATTAAAAAACTTCTAGATCAGCTTCCGTGCGTATTTTATATCTTTATAATTTTGACAATTAAAAATTCTTTTCAAAATTACATCTTGCTGAGTGTATGCAATTATGCAATGCCTGGTGTTAATAAATTAATTTTTTTAATCTTAATCATACAAGTTTTCGAAAAAAAAAAATTACAATATTGAAAATAAAATTTTATAATGCTTATAATGCATATTTTTTTTTTTTTTTTTGAGAATAAAAAAAAATAAAGGTAATAAATTAAAATACAAAATGTAAAAATGAAATCTTAAATATACAAAAATAATTATTAGAAATTTATAAACTATCAAAGATATAATATATATATTGTCATTAGTTGTGCGTAACGTAATGTGCATATCCTTCATATACATTTCCTCAACAATCAAACTAATTCATTAAAATTATTATTAAATATTGCTATTATTTTGTTCATGACTTTAATTATGTAGAGTTAATTCGGTAATTTTGTATATGATAAATCTATTATTTTTCACCGCCTTTTATATTTCTATAAAATTAAAAATTAAAATTAAAAATTATTCTAATTTCCCAATATAATATTTAACATAGAAGAAAAAACTTACATCTTCCATTTGCAATTTTTTGTTTGGGTCGATCGTATTTCGTAATCCTAGCAATCCTTTCGAAACTGCTTCGGTTGCGCCAATCATAGGTTTTAAAACAGCCACTGGTACCGCTCGAATGACAGCTTTTACTGTTCCCTGAGTTCCTGTCTTCTCATACACTTCCATGGGTACAGCAAAAATCGTATGCGCAGCAGTACCCAAATTTTGACGTAAGCTCTTATAAGCTGCTTCAATGCCTAAAAAAATTTTATATTATAAAATTTTGCTTTAAGCATTTTTGTCCACAATAAAGAAGAAAAAGAGTAATTATGTTCTTGGATAATGAAAATACCTTCGTTTAAATCTGCTGGTTGATCCGCATATTTGCTTATTATTTCTTTGTCATGATCGTCTTCACTGTCACATTCACCATCATCATTATTTGTAATGGAATTACTCTCAAAAGAAAGTATTTCTTCTGCCTGTTCAAGCAAAATCTGAGTCCCAACAGCAATTTTGGTACCAAATTTGATTGCTTCCATTGTGGTAGCCTTGGCAAAAGATTGGGTTCCTTTCTGAAGACCTAATAAAAACGAAAATTTTTCATTAGAAAGTGTCCAATAACAAAAAATAACAATATATATTATGATACCTTTAATAATTCTTCCATCTTTTTTGTATTGTTCAATTGGTAATAGTATAAGATCTGAAAATCCTGATCCAATATTTACCAAAGAACGTATCGGAGATACACCAGAAACAAAATTTGGTACTTGAGTACTTTTAATGTGCGGTAACCACGCAGCAGCCAAATCTTCTAGTAATCGCGATACACCTTTGACCTAGATTAAATGGTTAATATTTAATATTTAATATTTAATCAAAGCAATAAAAATAGGCGTAAATAATAAAAATAATGCAAAATCTTACTCCTGTTAATTTAACGCTTGTCAATGTCATTTCTGCAGCTTCAAGGTGGAAAAGATTCATCAATTCAACTAAATTTCCATCTTTTAAATTGGTATAATCAATATGTTTTGGTTTATAATCTAATTTCATTGCGATGGGCTGTATTTCAAAATGTTCTACGAATTATTAAATACAAAATGTTGAGAAAATTGGTCATAAAATTAAAGGTATTACGTGATAACAATACTTACGGAAATACATATCGTCTTCATTCTGTGAAGGATTTTTAGTAGGACCTTGATAAGAAAAGAATCTAATTAAGAAATTAAGTGCGTCTTGATCAATGTAAAACCTAAGAGGTAAAAGTTTGGCCTATATAAAATAAGAGTAAGTCAAACAAAAAAAAAATCATAAATAAATTTCGACTAACAAAATATGATTTGGAATACCTTTAACCGAAACTCTTCAAGATCACTCGGTAAAGGTCGAACGCTTTGTAAATCTATTTTAATCATATTGGATTTACTTTCTCTAGGATTTGTATCATTATCCGGACGCATATGCGTTAAAAATTTACGCCAAGCGGAAGTTTTGATATTGTCAAGAATTTCCAAATCTCGAATGAGTAACAATAAACGAAAAGCTATCAAATCATCTTTTGGAAACATGTCAAATTCCATGTTCATCGTTTCTAATTTAATTTCAAGTTTACTTGACTTCGAACGATGTAACTTTGAATGATGCCGACGGCTTTGTTGCTCTAGTCGTTTACCATCTTCAACTCGAGAGCTTTCTTGACTAGCAGAATCACTTTGATCATCAATTGAATAATCTATTTCAGATGCTTGAGAAGATCCTTCATAATCAGAGTTTCTAAACGACGATGCCATGAATGAAAGACGATTGAATGGATTGGTGGTTTCTGAATCCAGAGGAACATTTATCTCGTTTGTCGATGATCCAGCTCCTCCTGCAGAATTAGAATTCGAGTTGGTCAAAGCTTTAGCATATGCTAAAGCATCAAGTACTTCGTTCCTGGTATGTTCCCAATCATAGCCATCATAAAGCTTCCATGTAATATTGAAATCCCGTAAACGGACTCTTGTTAAACTTTTCGAAATCCTAAAAAAATTTAACATGTCTTTTTTATGAACTGAATATAAATCAAATAAAAGTTAAAAATATAATAAATAGAGTCATTTCTTACTCTTGGTTATCATCATTGAGCTCGTTTTCATTTGGAACAGAGAAATGGTCATCAACAAAGTCAAGTTTTTCCGATGATTCAAAATTTTGTTCTGGTGTATCTTCTATGTCATCATAAGATTCTATATCTAAATTCTTAGAATTATTTTGCACCGCATTTGGAGATGGTACAGCATATAACTGTTGCTCCTCCATAAAATCTTTTAAAAAAAATAAAATAAAAATAACCAATATAATTTAAAACAAAAAATCTAAAAACTTTTAAGTAAGATATTAGGAAATTGACTAAATTAATTACCATCATTAAAATCATCATCATAAACATCAGAATGTTCAATAAAGTGTCCATCTGGATCATGAGAACCATTTTCACCACCTTCGATAGCGAAAAACTCCTCTACAAATTCTAAATTCGAATTTGAAGTACCACATGATATTTTTGATTTCAAATCTTTTGGTTGGGGTTGAACGAATGCCTCATCATCCAAACCCGCTGAAATCATAAATGATTATATTAAATATTATTTACATGTTCATAAGAAAAGTATCTTTTAATTTATATCAAGATTAATGTATGAATTTTAATACCTAACACATCTGCATAAATTTTTTCTTCAGGCTTCTCATTCAAAAAATTGTTACCATTAGTTGGTATGTGAGGCTTGCGTTTCCTAATAAATCAATAAATCATGTAAATATATCTTATAAAAGTAAAAAAAAAATAGTGGTGGAGAAAAAAAAAATCAAAAATTAATTACTCAAATCCTAAATTAGATTTGTCAACTTTAGGTGTCAATTGATTAATCAAATTAATAATGGTTTGAAAAGTATCCGCACATGTCTCGATTGTAAGATTTTCATTAGTAAGTTCGAGCTAAATTTACAAGACGTATGAGAATTAAAAAAAAAAAATAAAATAAAATCAAATAATTTTATAATCTTTCTAGCCTAGGAAAATTAAATTTTCATACCTCAAAATGAGGATATATTTCCCCGTCATTAGTCCGTAAATTTATTTCAGCGAAATCTATCGTAGCAATTTTTACAAGACCTATAGACTTTATAATTTTTTTAATTATAATTAATTTTTAATATTAGATTAATTTAAAGTATTTAAAGTAAAATTTCAATGAAAAATCAATTAAATTACCTTCCAAAATTTTTTAACATTCAAAGGAGTAGAACTTGATCGATTAGCTGTCTTCTCGTTCAATGCTTTAACGTCATCAATTAACATCAAATCGAGATTTTGAACAATTAATTTAGCAGCAAACATTGGTGAATCGGGTATTATATTACTTGACACCTAAAAAAAAAATAAATATGAAAAAAAATTTTTTTTTTTTATTATTGTATAGAACAGATATTCATGATATGAAATATATAATTCAAGTAAATATTTTAATAATCACCTTCAAGCTATCAAATACAAACACGACGCGCCCTGCAAAATCTTTAGGTCTGAAATCAATCGAAGTATCATTTATAGTAACGAATAACTTCGTAAATTGACTAGGAAGATCTAAATAAGATTTCTTTGTAGAAAATAAATTAAAAAAAGGTTTATTTAACCAAAAGTTTATATGAAATTATTAGAATTAAAAAAATTTTGCTTCATAAATACCATTTCTGGTTCTTGTAAAAATGCGACAATATCTTCAAACCATTGTGAATCGTAAGAATGATTCAAGGAAACACCATTCACCGACAAAGCCAAATTTGTCTCTTTCATATTTATATCTACATCTAGCGAAATATGCATAATTATAGATAACATAGGACGTATATTTTTGGTCTAAAAATAAAAATTTTAATATTTCAGAAAATATATCGATTTATTTATCAAAGCATGTTTGATTTTAGTATTACTATGTTACCTTAATATTTTTACTTAAAGTACGACATAGAATCTGTGATTTTTCACGAGTGGAAATATCCGTAAGGCTAAATTGGTCGTTATCTAATATCACGTATGTATCGTTCTATAAATAAAGTAATAATAAATAAAAATATTCGACAAACAAGTTTAAAATGTAATAATAAAAATGAACGCACATTTCCTTCATGTTTAATAACCGTAAAGAACCTAAAATCTGCCATGTTAAGTTGATACGATCGAGTTGTTTGTACTTGATCACTTTCTTTATCGTGTAATATGACAAATTCGACTACGTCATAATTTTTGATGAGTTTAATAGTACAAATGAATATTTTCGACAAATTAAGAGAAAAACATCTATTTCATGTTTACCATTAGTCATGAATACGACAACGGAAGCTAAACTAGGTCTCAAAGGCTGAGCGCTATCGACGCGACTATTAAACAAGTCTCCTTCGAACTTTCTTCTTAGTTCAAAATCCTCTGAGTCATATGAATCCAATCCATCATAGAGTGTATCCCGTTGAGCTTTATTTGCATACCCTGAAAAATTGGAACGATTCACGGAAGGAGGAGGAGACGAGGTAAATTTATCACTTGTAGAGTTATTCTTAGGCTGCCAGATTGCCAAATCATTCAACAATATTTGTAACGTGTCGTACGCTGATTTAGTCATACGAGTTCGAACAGTTGGAAAATTGCAGTTTATCACAAATAACTACATATATATATGTGTGCGTGTGCGTGAATATAAAAAATAAATATTCAAATAATTAAATTTGAAAATATTCCAATAAGATAATTAATACATGAAATTTACCGAACTTTCGATAGTGCGTTGTTTAAACATTAAAATATCTTCCTCTTCATTTTCTACGGGCCAATTAGCACGTTCTTCACCTTCGAATGTGGAAAAAGTTCGAGCAAATGGGGTAGAACGATTGCCACTACCTATGTACGGTGTTCGATTGGTAATCGCACTGGCGGGCCGATAAGTAATTTCACAATTAGGAAATATAGGAACATTTTGTGTCAGGGTACGAAGAGGTAGCGAATTAGAAAATAACGGCTTTACAGTAAGAATACATTTTGCATCTGGGACTAAAATATTTAAATTTTAAAATTATATCAGTAAGATTTAATGCTTGAACATATAAAAATATTAATATTAATTTTCTTTTACCGTTGGATTCTTTTATAAAAACGTTAATAATTCCGCATTCGATTTTAACCCTATTTTGCTGTAAATCAAGGCCATTTTGATCGGAATCATGTTGTTGCACACCAAAATTTATAGAACGAGAAGCTCTTTGAGATTTGCCTTCCGTAGTAGCGTTAATATGCATAAAATCAGAAATGAGCAAACTAGAATGTATGCTGTAATCATTAATTATGCTTTGTGTGCTTGAAGTATTCAAATATGGACAATGAAGCCAAAGACGAATCATTTCGCAATTGATTCGAAGCCTAAATTTTTGTAAAGCAGTTTTCTAGAAAGAAAATAACAATTTATTTATCAAATTCATAAAATTCATTTATGGTAAACTAATAATTAACAATATACCTCAAGTAATCTCTGTGTATCAAGATCATCAATTATTAATTGACTAGAGGCTTGTTCAATATACGTTTTTCCTATAGTATTCTCTTCTAGGAGCTCAGTATCATTAGAACCTATCGATAAAATACTTAATTTTTCCAATCGATCCATTATTCTTAGATCAAGATGTAAATGAAATGGTTCGAATTCCATAAAAATATCAGAAAATGAACCATTAGATGGAGAAGAATTAGAAAATAATCCTATTAAAAAAATAAAATAAAATAAAAAAAGTGAGTGATAAACATTACAATATTAATTATATTAATTTTAAATTAACTTATATTGAAAAATACCTTCGTTTATTACATTGCCAATTTTTAATTTAACTTTAATAGCACTTTTTGCTTTTTTTGATAAAGTATGTCCCAAACTATCTTTACTAGACCTTCTAAAACTATTAAAACGATGTTGATTTGTGTCATGAATTTTGGTTATAGAAATATTAGGAAAATCTATTTCATCAGGATTATAAGAGTTCATCAAAGAATGATCAAAATATAAAAGTTGATTGTATGAATTAAATGCAGGAAGAGTAAATCCGGAATTTGATAACTCGGATTTTAATTCATCATGCATAGGTGAAGGACCTTTTAACCATTCCGATATTTTCAAATCAGAAATAGAGAGTTCCATTGTAACACGTAACATCTCGTCTGACTCAGAGTTTTTTTGATGACCTGAGCTTGATGAACTACTTCCTCTTCTGCGACTTCCTGAAAAATTATCATGTTCCCAACTTTGAACTTGACACATGAAATCATTAATTTCAAATTTTAAATGGTCCATATCTAAATTTTCTTTAGGCTTATTAAGGAAGAATTTACGATCAGGTATAAGATTAGGTAATGGATCTTGATACAATAAATACAATTCAATAAATGAAATGTCAAGTTTAAAACTAATAGTGGATGCGACAGAAGTTGAACTTGTTTGTTGAAAGGTACGAGATGATGATGAGGATTTATAAGGATACGAAATATTCGATGGAGGGCTAGTAGAATATAATGCCGAGCTTTGATCGTTTTTATAATTATTGTAAGAATAATTTTCACGCGAACTATTTTTAACATGAGGATCTGATAATCTTGATGAAAAAGGTTCTCTTTTTCGTTGTCTCAATTCAATTTCACTTCGTAGAGTAGGGGAATTCTGTGTATTTCGCTGAAAAACAAGATCGTCCATACCATAATCATCATGTAATGGTTGGGTCATTCGACGATAATCAAATTGATATTGATTTTTATCAGGTATTCTACCTTGACTATTTATTCTAGTATTTTCATTAATAAAGTCATCATCACTTTCGATACTGCTTGGAGATCTCGTTTCTAAAGATGATTTACTGTTTGACAATGCATTCACCAAATCTGCAATTAATTCTATTTGACTGGGTGTCAATATTGCGGTCACTGATTTAATTAAACCTTCAATTATCCAAGATTGAGTGCTATTGGCTTGTTGCATTGCCTCCTGGGTATAATGATACGATGATGAAACGTTACCAAAATCCATTTGAATTGATGGAATAGTATTTGGACGTAAAGTGACACGAATCAAATTTTCTTCGCTGACACAAGATAAGATCATTGCTTCATAAACATGATTTTCTAATTGTCCATTATTCTTCTTCCCATTTTGAGAATAAAATTCATCTTCACTATCTAAAATTCTAGCATATTCTTCCACGAATTCTTTTTCATCTGGAATTTTTTGATTATTAGACAAGACTTCAGAATTCAATGCTTCTCTAATCCAAACACTTAAACCGGATATTGCTACTGACTTTACAGTTTCAGATAATGCGGGGGGTAATGTAACACTTTCGGAACCGATGTTTATTGAAGTAATATCATCATCCGATCCATGTGTCTCGTCTCGAAAAGAAATGTTTGGTATCTCAAGGTCAAAATAATATTCTTTGAGATTTCCCGAATCGGTCTGATGATTTTCATTAAAATCAATAGTAGAATGATGAAGTAATCGAATGCATGTATCTTTAAACACAATTTTTACATTCGACATAAGTTTATCAATCAATATAGCCAAAACTTGTATACTTTCAATGCCATTATCTCCCCCCTGTACACCCTGTACAGGAGTCTGTTGTGGTAAAACTTCAGACTGATCTAAATCATTGGTACTACCATGAAAAGAGTGATAAATAGAATTACGAAGTACTTCATCCTCTTCGGGTGGCATTTCATGACGAAGGAAATCTCCCGCGAAGTGAATAGATGAAGATAGTATATGTGAATCTTCGGGAGAAACCTTGGCTAAAAAATATAACATAATAATAATATGAATTGACATGTTCAAATAATCCTAAACAAAAAAATCTTTGAATTTACCATTTCTAGGCTTTGTATGTTCAGGAACGGCAGTTATTTTTAAATTATGAATCTCTAAAACACAGTCACAAGTCCATATATTCTTCCATGGAATATTAGCAACAATGCCTCCTATCCGACCATCAGTGATCACAACTGGTAGATCTGTGACGAGATCATTTAGTACCTAAAAGCCAAACCATATATTCAATTTTCCCAGAAATCATGAATGCGTGAATAATTAAAGTGATTGTTAAACTCTGTCGCGTATTATCATTAAAATATGATTTCAAAAAAAAAAAAAATAAATAAATTAATAAGCCTAGAAAAGCAAAATACCTCCACATTAAGTTGTAGTTCCTTTAAATGAACGAAACCATTGCCCAATTGAATCTCAAGGTTATCAAGATCAAGTTCTTCTGCTAAAAACTGACCTAAAGCACGCTTGAGCAGGAATTTAAGTAGTCTCTTCTGGATCGTCGAGGGAACATTAATGCTTAACCCCCAACCACTAAAAGGCCAACCTTTGTACATTTTGATTTGTGTTTACTGAATATATTTTATAAGTATAGTATGAAGCCCATTAAAAAAGGTGTGTATTTTTTTTATAACGAAAGTGTTTGTGTTTGTGTTTGCTATTATGAACTTTAACTGTTTCGGTACGATCTCAAACGTAATAGGGAAAACTTGTTACGCAGTACAAATTAACTTTAGGGATGAAATAAAAAAAATAATGTAAACGTGGCGCAGAAAAGCTCACAATCAAACAGGTGATCAGAAGCCGTGACAAATTTAGGGGATGGGTACATCATGAAATTTTTAAAAATTCACATATTATGTGATATATTTATTAGTTTTATACTAAAATGTGATATTATTTTATAAATTTTATATTAACAAAAAAATAAACTACACCAACCTGTTTTTTTATCAAATTTATCAATAAACTTCAAGGACAAATTGCGATACAAGGAATAATTTAAATTGCGTAAACTTTTTTTTAAAAGATCCCCCGATCAATGGCTATCATATGATATCTTTTCTATTAAAATTGGATGCTTGCTCAGAAATCTTGTCTTAAATAAAGTTAACCAAAAATAGTAAATCAAATTGTTAATCGTAATGTCTCTCGTTTTCAATAACTATCCACTGGAAGTGCAATATATCTTATAAAGACTTGTAGCCCTAAACTAAATCTACAATTTTTATTAGAACCATATTTGCTGTTTCCTAGTTAAAATCAGAACTTTACTTAGACACGACTAAAAAATATCAAAATCATTTTGTCATTTCAAGAAAATTATCAATAATTTCTACATATAAAACATTTTTTGTAACAATAAAATCTTAAAATCGATATTAAGTAATCTCAAAGAGAAAATTATTTTGCATCTACTGTAAAGATTTTAAATCTATATCATGAGAATATAACGAATAATCGCCGATTAAACTTTAAAGAATAATTGTTAATCTTTTCTTTAATTCTTATAATATAGGTTTGCAAACTTTAAAGTATGTGTAAAAAACAATATTATCTTCAAGGCTACTTAGTATCACTTTTAATTTTTACTATTAAATAATAAATTTTTATATGTAACAGCTTTTGATTTGATTTGATTTAATTTGAGTGACCAACATGGTCTTGCTTTATTTTATTTAGATTGTAAGCAAAATTACAAATGAAGAAATAAAACTATCTAAGACTAGGTTTACCAATTAACCTACTGCCATTGAAAATAAACTAATGTTTACTTTTAAAATTAGTAAGTTTCTACTACAACGGTTTCACTAATATCTAAACTTAAAAATAAAGAAGATAAAATATATGAAAAAGAAGTGTTTGTTACATTTAGTAAGTTGTCTAATACTGTTTCTATTACTTTGGATTTTGTTTTTCTAGTTTTTTTTTTATTTGAATATAGTTTTCTTCATTTCTTACATACTGAACTTTTGTATTATATTTTATTTCAGCTGTTATGTTATTATTTTCTTTCCATTTATTTACTGTTTCACATCTTTTTATTCATTTTGTATATATTTTTTTTATAAATTCTTGAATTATGTCTTTTATTATTTTTTCTATTTCTTCTGTTTCTTTTTTCATAATTTTTTTAGTTTTTTTTTAGAGATTTTGATATTATATTCCTTATTATATCTATAAAAGAGAAAATTGAGTATTCATTTGTTTTCACTGAGTTTGTTCTATTATTGTCTATTTGATAATCACTGTGTTTTTAAACTCTTTTTCAATTATTTCATGTAATTTTGAGTGGTTATATACCATCTGTATTTTTTTCCTTATTATTGTGAAAAATTCTCCTTGAATTTCTTTAATTCTGTTTGTACATGTTAAAGTATATATTGACATCAGGAAATTTTTGGGAGCAAATATATCCGTATATATTTGAATTGAATATATCTGAATATATTTAACCACCCACACATTTATTCACATTAATTATTCGAATTTATTCAGATAAATATGTAAATATATTCACATATATTTGTTTATTTGAATTTATCTGAATACATTTTTCAAATATATTCGTATATATTCGTGTATTCAAATTTATTCGAATATATTTTTTGAATATATTTACATATATATTCATGTATTCAAATTTATCTGAATACATTTTTCAAATATATTTGTATATATCCATGTGATTTGAATTTATTTAGATATATTTTTTGAATATATTCACATATATCTATTCAAATTTATCCAGATACATTTTTATATATTTTTCGAATATATTTAAATTTATGTATATAACTTTAGATAACATATATTATATAAATACAATTTCATATATATATATATATTTTATATTTAAATTTAAAATTTATTATTTATTTATTTTATTAAATATTTACAAAAAGTTTTAAAATATTATAAAAAATAATCTTTATTTTCTATATAAATATAATTATATTCTATATTATTTTTGAATAATAAGTATAATATTCTTGTATTTTATTTAATAAATTAAAGATTATTTTTAAAATATTATATAGATATACAAAATATTCAAGAGTATAAGTATAATAAAAAATATTATTTACATTCTTATCTGTAAACTTTTAAAAATTTTTAAATAAATAAAATAAATAAGAAAATTATAATTAGAATTAAATTATATTTTGAAAGAATATAAATAAAGACAAATATGTATTTATTTTTCAAATATATTTGAAATATTAAAAATTATTCTTTTCTTTATTTTACTATAAATAAAGTAAATAATAAATTATAATTATGAATAAATTTAAAAAAATAATTTTTTTTTGAAAATATTTGAAAGAATATAAATAAAGTCAAACATATACACTGATCAAAATTTAAATATTAAACATTTATTGAACATATATCGGGTATTCAATATATTTATAATATTAAGTACCTATCGGATATCTATCAAAAATAATAAATATATCAGATATCCAATATGATTGATTATTACCAAGTGCCTAATAATTAATTTTGTAAATTTTATTATATACCTGATATAATTGTGATAAGTATGAGATAAATTTTATTATTATCTCAGGTTCCCGATATTGTTTTAAATATTAGGCGCATGATACTAAATAGTAATATCAGGTAGATGGTATTCTAATTATTTTATTTGGGTACACAATATTATTAATACTCATTATATTAGATAATCTCTTTATTATTATTAAATAAAATAAATTAAACATTAAATCTTCTATTTAATGAAATTATTGAAACATAATTTTTCTTATTCTTATTTTCTACCTGATAGTCTATCTTAATGACTCAACCATATATTCTATATATCGCAATAATCAAATCTATACCTTCCTCATAGTATTCTTCTCTTTACAACTCTATATTTGATACTTCAGGTATCATAAATTTATGTTTAAATCGAATACTAGAGGAAGATGCATTTTTGTACTATTTGACATAGATTAAAAGATATATTCTTAGTCTATTCAGAAAAGTAAATATATGTTCAAAGTAATATTATACTTTTCCAAGGTAAATATCACTTGTTCTATCTCTAAAGATTTTCCATTTTGTTAAGATTACTGTATTATTTTTATACTGGCCTACAATTTTGAATTCAAATATTTTATTTCCTATTATTAACCTTGTATATTAGTTCATAATTACTTCTATAAATACCTTCACATCTTTCTTTTTTAAATTATATAATGTTGTATACCACCTACATAATCTTTTTTGAACTTCTACTAGAATACTTACCTTTTTATATGTAAGTGCTAATATACGTCCTGATATATGTTCAGTGCCATAGATCTTATTGAATGTATCATATCTCAAGGAAATGAAATACTGTAACTCTTCTCTATTAAATTCATTAGTTACAGTTATAGATGGTGCTGAAATTAAATCAGAATTATGGTATTACAATATTATGGTAATCAAAAATATTTTTGGCATTACCTTTTAAAATTTAAAAATACTGAAAATAATTTTAATTGTTATTAAAGTGTATGACTAAACCCAGGGTTTAAGAAAAAGTCAAAACTGAAACTGTTCTAAAGGAGGTTTAATCCTTTATATAATTTACCCAAATTCTGAAATTTCTAAATTTTATTCAAACCTCCGAAATTATCCTAAATCTCCTAAACTATCTTAAACCTCTTGCATCATCTCAGATTAAATTAGTGTAATTGAAAAAATTTTTTTTTTTAAAAAAAATTTAATAATTAGTTTTTTTTTTTTTAAAAAAAAAACTTAACTTTCCTTAATAATAAATTTACCTTTCTCCTTTTCACTTCGGAAATAAGTTTAAGAGTTTGTGTGAAGGTGGAAATCAGATACATGGACATATATACAAAGGTAAATTTTTTATTTTTATTTTTTTTATTCTTAAATAAAAATAAAAAAAAAATACTCATCCTTATTACCTTTCTCCTTCTCCTTTTCACCTCAAAAATAAGTTTAAGGATTCGTGTATACCTGCTACCCAAATTCAAAATCCAAATGCCGAAATCTCAAATGCCAAAATTCCAAATCCCAAATTCCAAATCCCAAATACTAGTAATTTGGGATTTTGGCATCCCAAATTCCAAATGATTTGAGATTTGGGTAACACTTATAAATTCGTGAGAACATTTGTGAAGATGAAAATCGAGTTTGTAAGCTTGCACGGATGTATTATACAAAGGTAAGTTTTTTTATTATTTATTTTTTTTTATCTTTTTATTTTTAAATAAAAATAAAAAAATACTTACCTTTTTCTTCCTTTATTATCTTTCTTCTCCTTTCTCTAGAATTGAGTTTGTGGGTATACTTGTGAAGGTGAAAATCAGGTTCATGAGCTTCGTGTAGGTGTATATATGAAAGTAAGTTTTTTTTTTTTATTTTTTATTTTTATTTTTAAATAAAAATAAAAAAAAAGATACTTACCTTTTTTTCCTTATTACCTTTCTCCTCTTTCTTACCTCGGAAATAAGTTTAAATGTTTGTGGAAACACTTGTGAAAGTGAAAATTGGGTTCATGGACCTCGTGTAGGTGTATAATATGAAAGTAAGT